AGCGGTTATGATGTCGCCCTACAAATGTGCTGGATCATCCCTGCAAATAATTCTCTATTGCTCATAAAAAATACAACGGTGATATGATAACCACACACCATGGCCAATGAATACACAGCTTTTGTACCTTAATTATGTCTTATTTTACTTTGTAAATATCTAATTTTATATTTGGGATCTTGATTCTTGAAAACCAGGCCTCTGACTGACAGTCACTGCAGACTATACAGCTGACAGTCTTGTTACGTCAGTGTCTCCAGTGGCAAAATAAAGTATTACAAGAACAAACAGAAAAATTAGCCTTTGATTTTTTTTATATATATTTTTTTTCACTTGCATTTCAGGGCAGAAAATAAAACAAGAAAAACAATGTAAACCTTTCTTTCCAGATTTTTTTTCCTCTTGCATTTCAGAGCAGAAAAAACAAAAAGAAATCTTCAAACTTTTCTTTTCCAGATTTATTTTTTCTTGCCTTTCAGGGCTTCCATAGATTCCTTTTCAGAAAACTTAAAAAAACAACAGTGTATTCTGTAAGAGGCTTCACCAGATCTGGTGTAAGACAGACCGCTACAAAAGATTGCTTCCACCTCCTACACCTAACACCTAATAAACTAGTTGAAAAACTGCTAATGAGTTACTGCAACAACAAATTTCCCTTTGGGGTTAATAAACTATTTTTGAATATAATTGAATAAAATTTGCAGCTATGCAATATAAAAAGTACCACTTGTCTAGTATTTTAAAGGCGCAACATCTTACCCCAACTCAAAAAGGATAAATAAAATATTTACAAAACTTTATTTTCTCTCTAAACATTAACACTATTCATAAAACATTATGCCAATCACATGTTACAGTACACTGAGCAAATCTGTCTGTTTTACAGCAATATGGTATAAACAACAAAACTCATGGTCATATATGAAATTTAAATATTCATATCAATGGGGTTTCTCAGATTAAAATAATACAAATTTGAAATACCATCATTAAAGCAGGTGGTAATTAAAAATGGGTATTGTTCTGATGTTATTCTAATACTTTTTTTTTTCATTAACTGCAAATGGAAAACCATGATAATTTCCCTCTTCTGTAGAAATTACTGAAAAAAATCTGTCTGTGTTTGATTAAACTATATGGTAAGAGGGAGTAGTTGGCTGCCAAAATTAAATGTCCATCATAGGTTTGTCAACTGCAGCTTACAAGAAGCTACTTTATTTTAGGGTGAATTTACTTTAGAGTAAATGTACTTTAAACTGGAGGCAAATCATGCAATCCCCTAAGGGGTCGGGAACCTTTTTGACTCAGAGAGCCATGACAGCAAAATATCTGGAAATTTATTTCAGTGAGAGCCATATAACATATTTTAAGACTGAATTCAACTAAATGCGAGTATAATAAGCCTCTCAACTTATTTTTTTAAATAATGTCGTTATAAAACTCACCATTAATGCGACTTCTGGTGCTGCATGGATTTGCTGATGGCTTTGTAGTCTGGTTGGTACTTGGTAAGGTTAAGCTTCATGCAAGCATTGAGGCTTTCATCCGTTAAACGTGATCGTAGGCTGGACTTGATGTTGTTAAGATGTGAGAATGACTGCTCACATGCATACGTAGATCCAAACATGGTCAATACAGCAATACTCACACGCTGCAGTGTGTGGTATGTGACAGGAAGCGCGTTCCAAGTTTTGATAATCAGCTGGTCTTCGGGTTGAAGTTTTTTCATTTCTGCCCAAATGTGTTTGCTCGCCAACTCTGCTTTTTGTCGTGCAATTCTTTCCAAATCTTCATTCAGTGACTTGAACTTATTCACCCACATGTCTGAGGCCTTCAAGTCAGCCACTTCTGCTTCAAAATCTCTGACGGAGACACCAGGAATGTAACTCAGGTCGGCTGTGTTCAGTGAAGACTCGTTTGGATGGGTGATGAACTTGAAAAGACGAGTGTGCTCACGAAATTCTCCAAAGCGTGTTTTAAACGACTGTAGGAGACTGGATGTGAAGCCAGCTAGCTGGCGGAGATCAAATTTTTGAGTGGGCTCACTTGCTGTGCATGCATCTTTAAAATTTCTCAATTTTTCAAAATGTAGTAAACGACCTGTTTCAAGATCCATGATAAAGAGCTCCAGCTTGTTTTCAAAAGCAATCACTGCTTGTTGAAGGGATAAGACTGTATTTCCAGTTCCTTGCATTTTCACGTTGAGCTGGTTCAGATGTTCAGTCATATCCACGAGATAGTAAAACTTGAGGAGCCACTCAGTTTCGGCTAGCTCAGGATGCTCAATGCCTTTCATCGCAAGGAAAGTCCGGATTTCGTCCAGGCAAGCCGCAAAACGGCAAAGCACCTTCCCTCTTGACAAACAACGCACATTGCTGTGCAAAAGCAGACCATGATACTGTAGTAATTTCCAACTTCATCCAGCAGTGTTGTAAACTGCCGATCATTTAGGGCTCGGGCAACAATAAAGTTGATCACACGAATGACCAGCGACATCACTTCGCCAAGCTGCCCGTCACACATCTGAGCACAAAGTGCCTCCTGGTGTAGAATGCAATGGAAACTTAGGATGGGTCTATTTTCATGTTCACGGAGAAGCGCCACAAATCCTTTGTTTTTTCCCACCATACACGGCGCACCATCAGTACACACTGAGAGAAGTTTATCCATAGGTAGATTTTTTCTTTGAGCGAACTCCATGAAAGACTTGAATAAATCCTCACCTCTTGTGGATCCTTTTATTGGCAGAACAGCAAGACTTTCTTCGCGCAGTGTGTCACCAGCAGGATATCTTGCAATCACACTGAACTGTGACAAATGGCTTGCGTCTGTTGACTCGTCCAAAGCCAGGGAAAAAAACAGCGCTGCATTTATGTCCTTCACCTGCGTTTCCTCCACTTGGTTTGCCATCATGATGGTGCGATCATGAACAGTTCTTGCCGACAGAGGCATGTCTTTTATCCGTTTGATTATCTTGTCTTTGTTCGGAAGATCATCAAAAAGTTCATTGGTTACATCCAGCATGAACGTTTTAGCATACTCGCCATCTGTGAATGGTTTTCCGTTCCTCACTATTGCTGAAGATCCAGCAAAGCTAGCGGAATTATAGTCACCTTGTCGGGTCCATACGCGGAGCTGCTGCTGGCTTGCCTGCACGCTGCTCAGTAGCTCTTGGCACGCTTTCTTCCGGCTGTCCCCCGCCGGGTACTTTGACGCAAAGGTAGCATGGCGTGTGTCGAAGTGCCGCTTTACATTCGACCGTTTCATCGATGCAATTTTGTCATTGCAAATAAGACACACCGCAGAACCTGCTCTCTCCACAAAGGCAAATTCTTCGGTCCATTCGTCCTGAAATGTACGATACTCCTCGTCTTTTTTTCTTTTTGCCATCTTCTTCGTTGAAGGGTTAGCTGTGAGCTACTGCCCGAGCAGACTGATTCAAAAGGGGGTTTACCCAGCAACAGCCAACGTAGGCTATTATTATCCAATTAAAATAATGGACTGCTCCTGCAGCCAATAGCAACCCTGAACAGGACATGAGCAGCGGAATACCGATGCATGGATTAAAACAGATTTTATTCTATCCAAATTAAATATTTTGTTTTGTCTGCGAGCCAGATGATATCATCAAAAGAGCCACAAGTGGCTCGCGAGCCATACGTTCCCGACCCCTGCCCTAGACTGTAGTTGATTATTTGTGACGCTAAAGAAAAAAATTTTATGACAGAGGTTCTGCTGAATATAAATATATTGCAAAACAAATTCTTTATACTGACACAAAGACAAATATAGCTTTGTGAATACAGTTCTGATGATAAACAACAACAAAAAACTGTCTCAACTTAGCATATTTTCAGTTGCTTGATGAGAGAAATTATGTTCCCATTATAAATGTAAGAATTTGTCTTATTTTTAGACTATTATATCTATACAATAAAAAAAGTATGCTTAGAGATGCATTTGATTTGTGTAGGTGTGTTAGCTACAGATAGCAGCTGTTTATTTTTATAATTTAATCCAGCCTCTCACCAGCTTTAACTCATTATTGGTGTTAAGCAGTCTTACAACACAGCACTCTTTCCTGTGTTGTGATTTCATTCTCTTCCCAAAGGAACAAAAGGTATCAGATGGGTTTAACTTACTTCCCTCAGACTGCTTGAGGCTTTTCCATACGCTCCTCTCCCAGTATTTTAGTGCTGCTTCCATCATTATTTCCTGCTACGCTTCTCTTTCATCCTTTTCTTTAGTGACGACTGTACATATTCAGAAGCAACCCACTGGCTCCCCTGTGAAGTGATTTAGCTAATGGTGTGCAGCTAGTGCCTGCTATTGCCCCCCGGGGGGTTCCTTATCCCTTAACTTTGCATATCCCCATTTGGAAATGCTTAGAAACCTTATAAAGATGGATTCTCAGGCAATGTTGTCTCTATAAAGCTAATTGATTAGCCTTGACTCACACACACGTTTGTCTATGGCTGAAATAGAAGACTTGCGCTTAGAATGGTAGAATGTGCTTTTGAGCCTAAAAAAGTATGCTTATTTTGATTCTTAAGCAATTGAATGATAAACTAAATGGTGAATTAATTGTGCAGTTTAAATAAAATGCTTAGCTTCAAAAACTTGAATTTTGAACCACCATAAAGTGTAGTTTTTACACTTAATACTTTATTTGTAAAGAAGTTTTGTTTATTAAAGGCATTTGAATGTGTCCAGCTTGATGGACCTTAATATAAGTAAATAAACCACTAAAACAACACATAATATACTTGTCTTTAAAGTCTCTTACAATATATACATATATTGTGTGTTGTATTTATTATACATATATACACATAACATACATACTGTACAGTGCTCATTTTTAATCACTTGACTTAAGTTCTTATGCGTGAAGCTGAAAGTGACTAATATTTGCTGAGTATGGTTTAGCTTAAATGGTAATACATTGAGTGTACCAATGACAATTGCTTATTACATTATATATATTTTGTGTTTCAGGTGGGAAACCTAGGACTGCTATTCATGTTGCTGTTTTTTATATATGCTGCTCTTGGAGTAGAGCTATTTGGAGAGCTTGGTATGTCCTTTAGTTAATATTTTTACAGTGTTTATACATTTTTTTTTTTATTATTATTCTCTCGTACTGTGATGTTTTCCCGACTAAACAGGCTTTTAGTGTTTTATAATTTATTTATATAGTTTTTATTATTATAAAAACTACTATTTGTGAAATAACTCCAACCTTTGTTTTAATTCACTTAATTCTTTGTCCTTATGTCACCTTTTAGTGTGCAATGCTGACTACCCTTGTGAGGGAATGAGCCGCCATGCTACATTTGAAAACTTTGGAATGGCCTTTCTTACTCTCTTCCAAGTATCAACAGGTGACAACTGGAATGGCATCATGAAGGTAACAAATCTTTGCTTAAATGATCTGGATTTTTGTTTACACCCACTGGTTATTCTTTTAATTGACTCATACAAAGGTTTCTAAAGAAAACCCTACATTCACAATTCATTTTTTACACTACATTATATTAAGGTAATACATGGTCTTCAACTCAAAACTCCCTTTTTTATACTGTAAATAACTTAAATCAAAAGATGGCCAAAATACTGAATATGTTCTTATGAGCAGTAAATTAACTATACTTATTATAATGTAGAACATAAAGTATCAATTTTCCAACCCATTGAAGTACTTTAAATGTACAGTACCTGAAACTGGTAACAAAGTCTAATCCTGTTTTTGTAAACCACCAAAGCTCCAGTACTTAAACCTAGCTATCAGTTATACTCGAATAGGTTTCTGAATCTACTTTTCATATACAGTGTAATTACTTTGCCTACATTTTTTTCTCTAAAGTATTTTCTTCCTGTTGCTAGGATACTCTGAGGGAATGCCCACCAGAACATCCTGGCACAGACTATGGCTGCCATGCTGGACTGCAGTTCATCTCTCCATTGTACTTTGTGTCATTCGTGCTCACAGCTCAGTTTGTCCTGATAAATGTGGTTGTTGCTGTGCTTATGAAACACCTGGATGACTCTAACAAGGAAGCGCAGGAAGATGCAGAGATGGATGCAGAAATTGAACTAGAGCTGGCTCAAGGGGGCCTCTGCTGCATGATGGGTGGAATCGGAGCCATTGCCGGAGCTACAGGTGGGGCTGCAGCTGGGACAGGCATTAGCGGAGCTTCAACTGGGACTGTTACAGGAGGACCAGTCGGTTGTACAAGTAGTGCAGTAATTGCTCCACTGCGAGATGGAGGAGGAGGTTGCTCAATTAATGATGGCCACATTCATCCTCGATGTCGGCTCTACTCTCCTTCACAAGTAAGTGAAATCTCAAGCAATCAAAGCAATGTTTGCTATAGTTGAAATGTTAGTTTTAAACATAGATAATAACTTATAAAGAAAAGCCTAGCTTAAGGGTCAACCAAACTAACTTCATTTTACGAGAGTGTGTTTTACTATTATCAGTAAATACAGTACAAATATCAAAAACATGGACAGATAAAAAAAAAAAGTGTTGTTTATAATGTTTGGGCAGCAGGGCTCGAAGCAGTGATGTTATAGTGGGCAGTGGGTTGGTTGGTAATGGGTTTGTTGGCTCTGTAGCAATACCAGCCATACCCAAGTACAGTATAACACTTAAGAAATTTGGTATGATAGAAGACAAAGCTGAAAGGAAACTATTTTACCCCTAAAAGGCCACTCGAGAGTCTAAATCCCATTGCTTATGCTTTCGAGCCCAGTAAAAGTTATATTTCAAACCAACATCTATGGGCATTCTGTTATCTAAATGCTAGCTATGACTTTACTTTGCAGAACCAAATGTTAGAATTTAAAAAATGAGACATCTTTTAAAAGCATTTCTGTTAACCATAACTTACAAAAACTCTTTGTTAAACAGAAATCAGGATTTGTAAAAAACGTAAATAACAATCAATACATTTAGCAAAAAGCCATGTTACAGCTACAAGCTGATTTAGCAAAAAAAATGAACATTTAATAAGTTGACTGCTTTCTTATCATTCTCCATTTATCTAGTTCTTATCTCATGCACTTTCCTCCTCACTTACTGCTTTATTTTTAAGATGAACTCTCATATGTTCAAACTTATTAGATACTCTGAAGCATGAAAGTCAGTGTTTACAAACCATAATAATATATTATCAAAACCAATAACCAATTTTGAATATGTACTCTATAGGTCACTGATCAAATCATTGCTGCCTCAGCAGGGATCAACACTGTACAACAAATATGAATAGACACATATTACAGGACAGCTACCCATTGGGCATGACAATGAAGGCTCCTCCTCTGCCTCTGTTACAATGACAGCTACTGCTGTTGCCCAACATGACACCTAAAAATACCATAATTAAATTATACACTTAACATAACTTTCTAAATCATAGCTCACTAAATAATCAGAGACAGATTCACTCATGGACAGATTGTCTAAAATGGGGACTGTTGCTGGAAATCAGGACATCTGGTCACCATTTTCTCAAGGCTTTTAGCCTAAAGTTACCAAACTAGATCTGATAACAAAGCACATTTAACCCAACGTGAGAGCTGTAGATCACACACTGATGAAGCCAATAGAAACACATCATCTGCGAATAACAGAGACACAACCCTAAGGCCACCAAAACAGATCCCCTCAACACCTTGGCTGGGCCTAGAAATTCTGTCCATAAAAATTATGAACAGAATCGCTGACAAAGGGCAACCTTGGCAGAGTCCAAACCTCACCGGAAACAAGTCTGACTTATTGCCGGCAATGCGACCAGGCTCTGACACCTATCATACAGAGACCTAACAGCCCTTATTAAAGGGCCTGGTACTCCATACTCAAGGAATACCACCCACAGGACCCCCAGGGGACACCAGATCCACAAAAACACATATAGACTGGTTGGGCAATCTCCCATGCACCCTCCAGGATCCTTCTGATGGTGAAGGGCTGATCCAGTTTTCCATAGCAAGGATGAAAACCACACTGCTCCTGCTGAATCCGAGGTTCAGCTATCCGATGGACCCTTCTTTACAGAACCCCGGAATAGAGCTTACCAGGGAGGCTTAGGAGTGTTATTCCTCTGTAGTTGGTACACACCCTCCAGTCCCCTTTTTTTTAAATAGAGTGACCACCACACCAGTCTGTCAATCCAGGGGAACTGCCCTTGATGTTCACGCAATGTTGCAGAGTCGCGTTAAACAACACCATCCCACAACATCTAGAGCCTTAAGGTAGTCAGGGCGAATCTCATCCACCCTTGGGGCCCTGCCACCAAGGAGCTTTTTAACCACCTCAGTGACTTCAGCAACAGAGATGAGAGAACCCAACCCAACATGTCTTCCTCAATTGAAGACATGTTGGTGGGATTAAAGAGGTCCACCGACATACAATGTCCTGAGTCTAGGTCAGCAGCACACCACCCCCACTATAAATAGTGTTGGTACTGTACTCCTTCCCCCTCCTGAGACGCCGGATTGTGGACCAGAATCGATTTGAAGCCTAACAGAAGTCTTTCTCTATGGCCTCTCTGAACTCTTCCCATGCCCAAGTTTTCTCCACAGCGACCAGCCAAGCCACCTGCCGCTTTGACTGCCGGTATACATCAGTCGCTTCTGGAGTCCCACAGGTCAATAAAGCCTGATAGGACTCTTTCTTCAGCTTGACAGCTTCCCTCACCGCTGGCGTCCACCAGTAAGTTCGAGGGTTACATTTACTGTTGGTCATCAGTGGATCACTCAGAGATCCTCTTCGAGAGACAGTTTGATGCACTGAAAGTAAATGGGCCGTTTAATTTTTGGACCCCACTTTTCAGTTTTTTTATTTGTTAAAAAAAGTTTGAAATATTCAATAAATGTCATTCCAATTCATGATTGTGTTCTGTTTGTTGTTGATTCTTCAGAAAAAATTACAATTTTATATCTTTATGCTTGAAGCCTGAAATGTGGCAAAAGGTCGAAAAATTCAAGGGGGGTGAATACTTTGACAATGCACTATATATATAGTGAAATAACATTTTACAACTTGGAAAGCTTAAAACCTTGATGAAAGGTTTTGTTATATTTACAGTAAATCAAGTCAGATTTATCTTAGGAATCCTATGATCAAAATGCTGAATACTGTGCTCCATGAACCAAACAAGTTCAAGTAACCTTTCATAGCATAGTTCACTGGTAAGAAATTACTGTGTCGCTCTTCAGAAAAAAGACATTGACTCAATGGGGGAAAAGGCAGGGATGAGAAAACAGCAATAGATCCTCTCACTGGAGGGAAAACAGTGACTTGTAAGTGGGTGGCAGGCTCTCCCACATGCTCATTGTGCTTATTGGTCTTTGTCAGCTCAGTGGTATTTTTAACTCTGCAAAATTAAAAAGAAAATAACCTGAAAAAGAAGACTTCTTTTTGTAATCCTTTTTTTTATTTTTTATATCAATTTGTTTTCAATAATTATTCTTATTTGTAGGCAGTCATCTTAGTATCTACAGTTTGTATTTGCCTTTTTTTATTTTATAAAATTGTTTTATTTGTAGGAAAGTCTAGATTTGAAGCATTAAGTCTCAAAAACAGAATTTCCACCTTTTGTTGTTCATGTGTCATAATAAAGACTTAAGGTGCAGGATTCCAGCTGTAAATTGATATTTGTGCTTAAAAAAATTAAAGTGTGCCGTTTGGACAGGCTTATTTTCAAAGAAAGCACATTCGTAAGCCAGAAAATTATTGCTTCAAGATGTCAAATATTTCATGCTCTCTGAATAATTTCCATGACTAATGACTTCAGCATGAGTAATTTGTGTTGTTATTTTCGAAAACATCCCAAAAACGATCATTTATACCCACTAAGTAGACACACAGAGGTGCAAATTAGTATACGATTTGTAAGACCTTGAAAAGTAAAAACAAGCAGCACCAATACATTAATAATAATGAGAACTGCTTCGCCAACCTTTTTTTATTTAATTCAAGCTTTTTACATTCTAACTCTTTCTTGTATTGCACTTTACTAAAACAGAGAAAAATTCTTAGAGCGGCAATACTAATACTATTATCCTATAGCTATTACAAAAATCTGTGAAGAGGTCGCAACTCTCAGAGTAGTACTAGACTCTGACCTGAACTTTCTGAGACACATAAAAACAATCATAAGGTCATCTTGCTACTACCTGAGGCACGTTTGAAAAATTAAATAACTAATGTCAGAACAAGACCTATAGAAGCTCTTCCAAGCTTTTATCTTCAGGTGTATTGATTACTGCAATAGTCTATTCACAGGTCTGCCCCTAAAAAAAAAAATAGGATAGCTGCAGTTAATCCAAATAGCTGCTGCTCATTTTCTTACTTAGAGCACGTCATTCCAGTTTTAAAATATTTACACTGCCTGTAACTTAAATACTAGACTGTAAAACACCTTTATTAATTTATGAATGATCTAGCACCAGAATACTTACTATTCTTGTATTAATATTCCAGAAATCCTCTGGTTCCAATCTATTTTGTACCCCTAAAACCGAAACCAAAAATGAAGAAGCATCTTTCAGTTTTTCAGGACTTTAATCTAAAACAAACTCTCAGAAAACTGCAAAACTAAAACTTTTAAATTAAGTCTAAAAACCCACCTGTTTAGAGCTGACTTAGATTGATTGATGTAAGCCAGCAAATAAACCCAGGTCAAACGTTATGCCATCTACTTATGATTATCTTATTTATTTGGCTGATTATTTGCATGACTTTATGTAAAGGTTCTCATGTTTTACTGTGATTTACTGTGCACCTGACTGATGTGTTTTTTATGAAAAAAGGATTGTACTGCACATTTGTTCTTATGTTTTTTTATGATGTAAAGCAATTTAAACTGCCTTGCTGCTGAAATCTGCTATAAAAATAAATGTTTAATTCCTTTGAATTAAAGAAGGGGAATTTTGGATTGTAAGCCATAATCTTCAGCATTACAAATAAAAAAAAGACTTTATGTGTTTAGTAATAAGTTTAATTTTCTAACCTGAATGGGTAAAAAATGAAACTTGTTCAGCTGGAACTGTTTTTTGAAAACATAAAACAATGCAATCATTATACCATCAGAAACAAATCCTCCATCATAGTTTTAGCTTTTGCTTCATGATTATATGTTTGTTGTAAAGATGGAATTATTTTATGTAATTGAAGAAGGCCTCGTTTCTATTTTGTCAGCACTTCTCTATGTAATTGATTATTCCCATTCAAGAGATAAGTCTTAACACATCCAATGATTAAATCTATTCAAAGAATGCAAATGTCGGTATTATGTCATCTTACTTCTTAAACTAGTTTGGATCATAGTCTAAATATGAGAGAAAGAAATGTGTCAAGAAAGATGGACATACAGGAGCTTCATAGAGTAAGGAACCAGATAACAGTAAATCAAACGGGGTCATAGGCACAAAATACCACAGCTAATACCCCCAGCACAATCCATCAATCAAGCTGACTCACCCCCCACTGTGCATCTGCCACAATGTGAGCAATTGTAAATGTTCACTGAATACTTGGTTGCTGCCAAGGACCTGGTATTATCTGTTGCCCTCTTCACCTTCCAACATTTAGCAGTCTTTTTGCTGATATCTGAAAAAAAACATGAGGAGAAGGTATCTGCTGAAGAAATAAGCAGTCCACAAGGAAGAAAAGATTAACTATTGCATTTTAACTAAATATTACAATTGTAAACTTTCAGGGGTTAGGAACGATCCAAGTAACCAGACCACATGAGAATTACCATCACCCACAAATAAGAAATGACTATGTCATTAAGGAAGACAAGAAAAATGCAGTTAACATGTCTTCAGCTTTGAACCTGCAAGAAGGAGGTAGCCTATAAGTGTAGGAGAGAGTGATGCCTGTCTTGCAACTGCCAGTTGGAGCTGAAAATAAAATTTTCTACAACATATTGTGCTTAATTGAGCAACACTTTCCATTCAGAACTTGGCATGTTTTACAGGAAAGCAATAATGAAAGAAAACAGTAAAGGGATGACAAAGAGAATGGTACAAAGAGTACATGTAATTTTGCAAAGATTGCCCCAGAAAAAAAACAGTTATAGAATGGAGTGAAGACTTACACAGATCAGATATTGGAAAACCTTGTATGTATTTTAATAAAGGTTAGCTGATATTAATTTGGGTTTCAGATATTTTTACTGATAATAACTGTTTAATTCTTTCTGTTGTGGATAAGATTAAGATTATTTTTAATGAAAACAATTATATTTCAGAAACTACAATAATTTGCTCCTATTTTCAGTGTGATAATGCCGTGTTTGTTTATGTGTTTCTGCAGGAGAGCCAGTGGCTGGACAGTGTGTCCCTGCTGATTAAGGACTCATTGGAAGGAGACATGATTGACAACCTCTCTGGGTCAGTTTTCCACCACTACTGCTCTTCCCCTGTCTGCAAGGACTGCAAAAGTCACCCACAGGAGGTTAGTGTGGTGTGCCTAAACATTATCTGCCTTATTTTGTATCTGCTGTTAACAAGACTCTACAATCAACAAAACAAATGCAAACCAAAATGGTGCAACAACAAACGAAATGCTGCTAGCAAAAACCAAATGCAGTCATCGAAAGAAATTGATTCAAATAGTACAGACAACAGCAAACGTGCTCCACCAAGGAGAAGTGCTCCAGCATATTTGCTCTTATTCCAGATACAATTATATAAAGACTTTGATGCTCAAACCTCAGCAGAAAACATTAGCGCTGAATTTTACTTTAATATGCATAAGCAGGTGTACGAGAACAGGGATGTTTCCCCACCAGGCCTGAAACTGGTGTTGGAGGTGGAGATAGATGAAACTGGTTCAGTCCATAGACTGCTGTTTGGCAAGAAGATCTGTATTCGTGAGATCCAGTAGACTGTGTGAGCTGATTCTGTCATGATGGGTATCAGGTTACTAGACCACATGCAGAACACAACCAGAGACAGGGAAAAAGTTCAAAAATGTATTTAAACACACAGGTTTGAATACAGAACTGGTTCAGGGGATTATCTGGTCCAGGACTGGTCACGACTGATTCTCACTGTTCTGAGATTTGAGCAGAGTGGCAGAGGGGGGAAACCAGGAGGGTCCGGAGGCTGACGGCAGGCTGAAGACTGACAGGTTTGATTCTCCAGGGTTCCTCCGTGATCAGACAGACTGGTTTCAAACAGAGAAACTCTTCCAGAGTTTCTGATCTCCAGGGTCCTTCAATAATCAGGCAGACTGGTTTCAAACAGAGAAGTTCTTCCTGAGTATCAGATTTCTGACAGGTTCTTCCTAGAAGCAGAGAGGACAAGAACAAGTTAGGTTCAGGTTCAGGTTATCAGGGAGTCTAGATTCAGGCAGGCAGATTGGCTCAGACTTGCTAACCATAACTGGCAAAACACTCTGGCATTGGAGTGTTGTCCACAGCCCACTTAAGTACTGGTCCCCTGATGAGCAGATGAGAAGCAGCTGGTGAAGTCAGCTCCAGCTTCAGGAGATCCAGTACGCCCTCTGGTGGAGGAAGGTAGACAGCACCCCAGATCCCAACAGCAGCATAAACCATCAGGAAGGGATCCTCGGCGCCCTCTGGTGGGCAAGCCTCTGGATCCCAACAGATTCACTTAGGTGCTTCACTCGGGAACAGGGAGATTGATGTCCAGCTTTGATAAACACAGATTTGCATTACCTGTCCATAATGAGCAAGCATGAAGCATAGGTGGAGAGGAAAAACTCCCCTTTGAGCAGGACCTTCTGTCCTGCTCAATGACATATAATCCTTACACGTGGTTTAAAAGAAACTAATGTAGTTAGTAGAATTAACGCATAAATTTTTATGTAATGTTCAATTAATTGGAATTTACTATTAATATAATGGTAAATATTTTTAGAGCTGAGGTTTATTCTTCAATATGTGTTCATTAATCATCCTATTGTCTTGTTAGGAAATATGAAACTGTTTCTGAGGTTAGCATATAGTGTTTAGCAATACATTGTTTCACAAAAAACAATAAAAGTTTTTTCTTATCAATACAGTAACATTATATCATTACCTTTTAATATACACTATTAGTTATACATCCCTTAGGGGTTCATAATTTATAGCAGTGTTTCTGTCATTTTTTCATCTTATCTTTCTTTTATTCTTTCAAAAGAAATTTGGAAATGCAAATATAATCTTGTTGATGATAGAGATGTTGACTCTCTGTAGGGCATACCTCAAAGCTGATTAATCTCAACAGCTTGTGGAACTAGTCTGACGTTTTCTATGCATAATACAGTCATCTCTTCCTCAAATGTCCATTTATACCTTTCAGTGTCAAAAGCTTAGGATGCCTTATTGCGTCATGAGATAATATGTGCTACACTAAACAGGTTCCAGCACAATTGAAACGGCTGTCGACACATCTGTCTTGCATGATGTGCTATTTACATAATTACCTATGTGTTTGTATGGAGATGTGTTTATTTCACTTTATAGGCCAGAGACATTTGCTGTCTATTTGCCTTACATAATGGATTCTATTGAAGAATTATGACCTTGCAGCTTATAATTCATAATCAAGCAATGATACCTTGAACCTCTCTGAAGAGAGATCCACAGTTAAATCTGACAAAATATATTTAATTGTAAGATAACTGAAAATTCTAATATAACTCAGTCATTTCTACTTTCGCACTATAATAACCACTATTTTTCAGTCTGACAAGGGGTGTTGTTTTAATACTTTAAAAGCTCTACACTCAGTTGACATTCAATTGAGTATACATCAATAGTACCATGTTGCTTTCCCTTTACAGTAGAAATATACTACCTTAAGTCTTTGTGGGATTAGTCAACAAAGAGTTGGAAACATTGCTCTTAGAGTTTGGGTTATACTGACATTATGTTCTCACAATGTTGCTGCATATTTATAGGCTGCTCATATATGATCAAAATCTTCTGTGCTGTTACAACCCAAATGCTGTAATGGATAAATATATGGCGATTTGATGTTGTTGGTGTAAAATTAACATGCCATTTTTTAGAAGTCAGTTTGACTATGGCTATACAAGATTTGGAATGCTCAGCAAAAATAGTCATGGTGGCTGTTACTTTAAGATGTTCAAACTGGGCCAAAATTATAAAAATAATATCCCTAACATCATCTATTATCAGCATAAGCCGATAAACCATACTTTCATGTTGTTTACAGCAAATTATGTACAAAGCATCTGAATGGAGACACATCAGACCACAAAACATGTTTTCAGACTGTAAATATGTTTAATCACTGTAAACTGCAACACCGATAGTGTAATATAGTGTGCTACTGAGAGATGAATCTGATATTTTGTGCTTTTAATTTGATCAGGACTAAAATCATTCCAAACGCCATCCTACTGTTAGATTCAGGAGTTGGTTAAAAGTAAAACTAACAATATATTGCCTTAGAATACATTTATAAGTATGTCAAAAACAAAACTCTTATCTGGTTTTTGTTGCAAAATGTTGAATGTCATACATGTATTTATAAAATGCAATTCCAAACAAGGTTTAAAATATTATTCACCCTAAGCCTGATTTATAGCTAATATATTTACATTTTGTTTGCTGATTTTTGCTCCAACGTAACTGACTTGCGCATTTTGTGATGCAGATCCGATTGGCAGAGGTGGAAGCGGCATCACTGATGTCAGAACAGCTGTCAGACAAATCCTCATCTCCAGTGTTACCTGATGACCTTAGCCTGGATGAACACAGCAGCTACCAGCTGCTTGTCACAGAGAGTCAGGTGTGTATCCTGACTCACTCACTCATGCTTAACAAGGACTTTGCAATTCACTTGTCACACTTGTGTTGCTTTACACTGCTTACATCAATTTCTCTTCTGCTCAGCATCAACAAGCTATTAAATTAAATAAAAATTGTATGCTTTATTTTTTAAACAATTTGATGCTTTGAAAGCTGTTGTTATATGCTTATTAGAGAAAGTAATTAAAAACTAGAAAATTTCTAAAGAAATTTTGAGGGGGGCCACCTACTGCCCGTCTGGGTAACTGTGCCAGTACGGCCCTGGCAAGTGACGTTGGGGCTGCCCAGACCAACTGCTTACGCCTTTGAGGGCTGCTGAGGGAAGGAAAGAGGGCTAGGTCATGGGCAAAGAGAGCTGTGTGCCACTTGTGCTGAAATCTGGGAAATAGACGTGCACAGCATATGATGCACAAGGGTAATATGGGTTGTCCATATTGAACCGCAGTGGGTAAAGCGCAGTTGGCGGGCTCCGCCCGCCTGCTAGGAGCCCTTGCAGCGATGAAAAAAATCACCAATGGCGGGCTCTGCCCGCCTGCTAAGAGCCATTGCAGTGATGAAATCACCATTGGCGGGCTTCGCCCGCCTTCTAAGAGCCATTGCAGTGATGAAATCACCAATGGCGGGCTCCGCCCGCATGCTCAGAGCCATTGCAGTGATAAAATTACAAATGGCTATGAGCAATATGCCAGAATGTATTGAGTGTGTATAAGGAAGAGGCTTTTATTCTGTAGAGTCCCTGTAGTGTTATTTTGAAAGTCTATCATGGATGTGCATCAAAAGATGGGTCATGCCCAGCAGTGATATAGAATCCATTTCCAAATGTTAAATCACTGGTTTTCCATGTTATTAGGTGAATAGCTGCTGTATTACAGAGTAAATGGGAGACTTTTATTGTGAAATTTGCTCTGGTGTGTGTTTTGAAAAGGTCACTAGAGTCTAATAAAAACAACCTGGAAATGTTTGGGTCATAATGTTGAGCCATTTGCATCAATTACTGCATTAGTATAATCTAGAGGCTTTTATTTTGTAGGGTCCCTGGAGTCTTATTTTGAAAGTCCAACAGAGTTGTGTTTAGAGAAAATGTTCAGACCCAGCAATGATAGTTGATGACTTTCCAATTGTTAAATCACTCTTTTTTCCATGTTATTAGGGCAGTAGATGAAGATGAAATGGGAGGCTTTTATTTTGAAATTTGCCATAGGGTGTGTTTTAAACAGTCTCCTAGAGTCTATTCTCTAAAATGGGGTTGAGTTTGGGTCATAATGTTGAGCCATATAGGGCAATAAATATATGTAAAAAATATAGAGGCTTTTATTTTGTAGGGTCCCTGGAGTCTTATTTTGAAAGTCTATCAGTGTTGAGTGGCAAGGGAAGTGTCATGGACAGCAGTCATATAGTATCCATTTCCCAATGTTAAATCAGTGCTTTCACCCTCCATTAGATTAATATGTGCTGTTTAAAACAGCAGAGGTAAAATCTCTTTGAAGCCTGGTTACCTTGACAACGCTTAACGAGCCTGTCAGTGACAGAGAGAAGAGCGCAGCACTATCGTTCCTTAGCTCTCAGGCTTTTTTGAATGGGAGGAACAGCTGCTGAACAAACGA